GGGGGGGGGGGGTTGACCGGTAAACTGTCTCTCACCATGTTTATTTGCTGGAGTGTCATATCTAGGGGTGTGTGTGGATAGAAGGAAACGAGGAGATGCCCAAGCAGCTGGCCTTTTGAGATTGAACTTCGTCTGACCTCTACCCGTTGACTTTTCGGGCATGATTGGATTTGCGGCTGTGAGGAGCCATCCTGTATAACCCGCAGGGTTATGGAGGCACGCAAGCCATCAAACCACGTCAGAAGGGCAGTCTCGTCGTGATGGGAATACAGACATTCTGGAAGGATCGTTTCCTCCGAATCCGATGCTGTTCCCTTTCATGTGATACTCATTGATGTGAACAAGTCTTGGTCTCGTCTCGGGGACGGTAAGGGGTGGGGGTGGGGCTACTAGTTTCCGTAAGAAATGAACTTATTGCGCACACAAGCACATCAAATTAGCCTGATATGGCAAAGGTGAGCTGAAATGCTTATGCACAATCAGCATAGCTAACGGCTCGCCTATCGCTTTCCTTCCGTGATTAAAATATGCCATTTACCTGTGTTGTCTTGATGGGAATCCATTTGGCTTATCTGTAATCGTTTGCCTAGGCATGAGTTTTGGTGCTTGCTTCAGATCAATTTAGTTCTGTTCTTACAAGCCTGCACCTTCGGCTTTTTTTGGCTTCTGTTTAAACCGTCCATTTGGCTAAAATAACGAAAGAAAGATTGGTATGCTGAGAAGAGGGTCAAACAGAGACACAATAGAGAATTCATATGGACAATTTCTTTGCGGAGATAATGGTTAGTTAAACGAGCGTCACTGTTGACGACACAACGACTCCGGTTAGCGAAATCCCAGGAGCCCTAACTTGACGACGACCTATATGCCCGAGTCTTGTGGTTACGGTTTTCCCTGTTCGCATGCCCAAGTCTTTGTTTCACCACTTTCGACTTCAGATCGGTTATAAATGATTGCTAATTTGGTTCAACTGCATGCTTCAGTCACAGTTTTGTGTCAATTTATCAAAAACTCAAAGATTTGTTATGGAAATAACTTACAAACTCATGCTTTTCTCGTCCCATAGGTTCGTGTTGTGGTTAAAAATACAGTGATGCACACAATTCCTTGTGTAAATGTCACATGATACGACTTGTTTCACTGCTGCACGTAGCTTCACTCGATGTTGGAATCTATGGTGTATTAATGTTTCATCGAGTCTCAGTTTAAAAGATTCAACGCTTTGCACACAGACGATGTGGAGTGAGAGAGAGTTCCAGATCGAGCTCACACTCAGACTGTGAATGACTAACACTGGCATTTCAATCGGTATTTTAAGAGCACTAGTTTGAACGGATGTCCTCCAAGATGAACGTGGTGGGTGATAATTTTAGCATCGGGCAATGAGTTTGGCTTGGGTTTTGCATTATTTGGTATACCATAATCCTATCTTCTCTGATACGCTGGTAGCGATTGGAATATAACCCCAGTGGCTTTAATCTCTCTGCGTATGAATAACGATTCAACCCCTAACCATTTTAGTGGTTATCCTTTGTGGACGCTCCAGTAATTTGTAATCACTCTGTCCATGTTGTTCAGTGTTACACGTACGCGGCCGTAGTGTTTGTCTTCTGACTTGCCTGTGCAAATTTATCAGTAATCTGGGTAAACCAATCTGAAATAGGGCGCCAGTAACTATTCCATTCAGAGTTTGAAGCTCGACAATGTCGGTTTCATCTTTTACGAAAATACGTTTCCCATTTCCCATTGTTCCATGCGTTGAACGGTTTATATGGGTCACCGGAACCGGTAGCATGAAAATGTGATCAACTTATCGGCACTCAGTTTTTTTTACTCACTAGCTAAAATTAGCGATACATCCTTTCATTTTCCACGCTCATATAGCTGCTGTTTTTTTATCGGCGGTCTTTATGCTTCAAGAGAATTGACAGATACAGTACCATTATACCATTTCGTCAACCATTTTTTTTCGTTTCTCATAGCGTTCGATTCGCATCGCCTATATGCTCCTGAATAAACTCGGTCCTCGGGGTGAACAAAGCTTAAAACCACGTGATCGTGTAGCGTTGGTCTACGCAAATAACGAGCCAATCAGTTTTCTCTCTGCTTTCTACGGTTGCATTTTGGCCAGTGTTGTACCGATCGCAATCGAAGTTCCATCCGCCAGACGGGTATGTGGCGAGTGTGCATAATTTTATGACGATTCATTTGTCTATTCAATCAATCAATCAATCAATCAATGATACACAGTGTTTACATGATTCGACAGTTTTACACTAACCCATCTTCTCCACTGTTTGAGTTCTATTTTCTTTCGTCGACATTTCTCTGTTCGGTTTCTTTGTGTTAGGGATGCACGGTTTTCTCGGTCAAAACGCTACTGTGGTACTTAGTGTGTTGCATTTCGTTATATTTCACGCACGTCTCAGATCAGACCGTGTGCCAAACATATCTCAGTACAATAATCTTTGTAAAAAAAGAAAGTTCTATGACTTGTTTGTTGAAGAAATTCTGTCAGATTGCGCAGGCCAAAGCAGGTGAATTTTCTTGGGTCATTCACAATCGCAGCCCTGACAGGGTTGCCCTCTCTCTCCTTTTCTATTTAAGTTTGTCATAGATTTAGTTCTTGAAACAGCCCTATCCTCGTGCAGGGATAGCGGTATCGATTTACTTCCTGGTGGCAGAATGTCTGATCTAGAGTATGCAGACGACATTGTGCTACTAAGTGAAGATGCAGGTAAGTTGCAAGCTTTTCTGGATAGTTTGAGTGCTAGTGTAGCGATGTTCGGTATGCGTTTTGCACCTTCAAAGTGTAAAATGTTACTGCAAGACTGGGTTGATCCAGCGCCCAGTCTCACCCTAACTGGGGAAATAGTAGAGGAAGTAGACAAATTTTGCTATCTAGGCAGCTATATCTCACCCGGCGGACGCATCACAGATGAAGTGTCGGCGCGCATACAAAAAGCTCGATTGGCATTCGCCAACTTGATACATTTGTGGCGCCGTCGCGACATTCGGCTGTCTGTGAAGGGTCGAGTGTATGCTGCAGCAGTTCGACCAGTCCTGCTCTACGGTGCAGAGACTTGGCCACTAAAGGAACAGGATAAAAATAGATTGTCGGTGTTTGAATACCGCTGTATACGCAGCATTGCACGTGTCTGGTGGGGAAACCGGACGAGCAATGCTGAGGTTAGGCGTAGTTTTAGGCAGTTGGGGTCGTCCATTAGTGGAAGTGATCGACCTCCGTAGATTACGCTGGTTAGGCGCAAAGTTTTAGGCAACCGCTGTCGCCCACTNATGTTTGCCAAGGCTGGTAGTGGGTGGAATAAAGCCAAGGATGGTCAAGCTAAGACCTGGCACGAGGGTATGAAAACCCTAACCAGGAGACTTGGTCACATAGGCCCCGTTAGGCTCCCTGGCTGGGGACCTCGGGATGATGGTCACCGATGGTTAGACACTGAATGATATGGCTGGGTGTCGCAAACAGTGGCGCTCTTGCATCCACTCGTTATTCTCCTAACACCACTCTATATAAATTACCCGTTTTCCGCTTAAATTTGCTTCAAAATTCCAATCTTCACTTCACTCTTTTATCCAAATGGGCAACTAGAAGACAGCAATCAAAACCGGCGCACGAAAGTGCATGGTTAAAGGTTGTAAAAACTGAAATTGAAACTGCAGCCCTGGCCCGCAGTGTGGTATGTGGAAACCGCAGTCTATTGGGGTCCGATGTTCAGTCCATCGGATCATATGCCCTCTGGACAGGTTCAAATATCCAAGATGTCCAATCGAACTGGTGACTACTGCCACAACCTGGAACGTGTGGGTGAATGTGGTTCGTACACCTCTTCCGGGATCAGAGATTCTAGTCCTATGTGAACAACCAGTGGTTCACCTCACCCCATTTGGTGGTAAAACACCTCGGCCTGGGTGTCGTAAACAGTGGCGTGCATTTCTTTGCAACCGTAGACCACTGAAGTTCTTCATTTTCTGTTCGGTTCTACTTTCAACTTTCCTGTTTTCTCCTATTGTTCATCCAAATGGACAGCCAAAAGACAGCAATCAAAACCGGCGCACGATAGTGCATGATGAATGGTTACACAAACTAAGACTGAAACTGAAACCCAAGACGCTCACCATGAACATAATGAGACTTTCGGAGACCATTGCAGCATGTGTTAGACAAAGGTGTAGTCAAAGGGTCCTGAAAACCTAGGTTTCAGAGCATTGTTTGCAATACATTACACCTATTTACTTACTACTACTTGACTGCGGCCGGCTCATTGGAAAGAATAAACCGGCTTCAGACATGATCATGATCATGAAGTTCCTTGGAAGTTTGGTACGACAGATTTCCCTAGCGTCACTCGGCGTTTTTTTTAAAATTATTTTGACGGCCCACCTCTAGCCTTTGCACAACCAAGTGTGAACTGCAAGGCAGCAAGAAGTAATCCCTCGCCTTGGAAGTGAGGGCGGGGGGGGGGGGGGNAATGACTTTAGTTTTAAAAGGCCAGTCACATCGACACCGTCCTTGGGTTTATGCGGTTTCCAAACAGGATCCAGGTGACCAGCCTGAAACCCACCACCACACCCTGATAGTAGTGCCGCCGTTGTTTGTTCTCTACTGCTTATTTTTTGCGTTATGCCATAACTTATTCACAGGTCACCTTGTTCGAGGAAGGTGTTCTCTTATCCACGCCCCGGTGGAATGTGCCTGGTAGCATTTAGCTCTGTCTGACCAATTTACAATCCGATTGAGCAATGTTTCGTCCAGAAGCGCTTTACTTGTGATCTCAGTCATTTTAGGCGCGGTTTTATGTCGTATGTTTCATGATACGCATTTTTTCATTGTTGTTTAAACTGTCGAAACATTTTTTTTGTTATAAGTACAGAACAGATCTCACTGCATGCTCGTCGTTTCTGACAGTAGATTACTTACCTACAAACACTCTTCCGTGGAGACTTCAAATCAAATGCATCTGATCCATTTGTTAACTGTGTTTGTTTTGATTGATTGTAATCTTTAGACAAAATATTAACCAAAGAAATTACTGTCGATATTATTTTTTCCGTGGATTAAAATAAGCTGTATGCAGCACAAAACAAGCTTGTTAGTACCCGATACAGTGGGATCAACTTTTCAGTGCGTCACAGCATTCTGGTTCACATCTATCTCATTCGTACTGTTTGTATTTGGGTATATAGAGTCTGTAGTCGACTATCAAGGCAGATTAGATGTTGTGTGCTGACCGCAGTGGAAGCGGTTGGGAATTCATCTGCACAACCCCCTTTCCCCTCCCGTACTCTGTGTGCCCTAAAACAATGTGTGCAGGCGCCTAAGCTCCCTTGGCTCACCCACCCCGCATTTCGAGTGGTTCCAACGATCGGATGACGTAACAATTATGTGATCACACCGGGGCTATTGAACTTTTCATAATCGATATACAAGCAACAGATCTGCCAAACAACAATTTGAACAATTATGTGATCAGTGAGAATTCCTCATCCGGTCCGAAGACGAAATCAGTTCCAGATAACCTATAAATTGAATTTCTTTTTCCCAAAAACGACTGTTTTTTGTGTTTGAATACTGATACGTATATAAACCGTAATGTGTTGTGATGTTTTTGGTTTCACTACGAATCATTGAAAACGAGTTTGTTCGTCACTTGTTGTTCTGTTTGAAATATTCGCACTTCCTATGTTCAATCACAATATTAATAATTATATTATATATATTATATTATATATAATAATAATATTAATAATAATGCACAATATTCCTAATGTTTGACCTGAATTATACTGTCCTAATGCCTCGTGAAAATCAGTCACACACGCACACTTTGGGGAAACTGGTTAACAGTTCCTTGAATCCGGTGTTTTTTCCCAGTAAATTAATGATGCTCACATAATTTGATCGAATGTTTAAAGTACACATGTAAGCTAACATTCATGGGAATCACATAAGCTCTGGTTTGCGAGGATACGTAGTACACCCACCCACCCCATCCATTCAATAAGTAGTTTTTCGCTGGTATCGCCGCACAGCTGTCCAGTCTGTATTTGGTGATCCTGCTTTGCTTGCGAATTTCTGTTTACCGTTGCCAGCCTTCGTAACACACACACACACAGTGGTTCGTGGGAAAGTGATTGAGGTAATAATCCATCGAACAAGTCACCTGCGGACTAATGTTATCTCTGAATACTCCCACGGCCCTTGATCTCCCTGACTTATTCATAGTCTACTCAATAATCAGTACCAAAAACAAATGTGAAAATATGCGAGTTCCTGTTATTCTCCAACTTATCTGAAACTTATTGTAACACAGTATTTTACTTACTACTACTTTACTGCGACCGGCTCATTGGAAAGGATAAACCGGCTTCAGACATGATCATGATCATGAAGTTCCTTGGAAGTTTGGTACGACAGATGTCCCTAGCGTCACTCGGCGTTTTTTTTAAATTATTTTAACGGCCCACCTCTAGCCTTTGCACAACCAAGTGTGAACTGCAAGGCAGCAAGAAGTAAAGAGTAAAGAAGCATCAGACTCAAACTTAGGGGCCCATCGAGCACGGCGATATTTCCTCTTTCTGCTATCTGTCAATATGCGATTAGATTAGTTGTTATTTTTGCGTGAGATTTCGTCCTATATGGCCGGTAAACACAGTCACCCAGTGAACGTGGCCTATTGAAATTCGTGTCCCATACATATGCTTTTCTATCAACAATGTTTGTAAAAACTGAATCGAAGTATAATAATAATTGCGAATCGGGAGAAAATTTTTATTGATGCAAAAAGGCAGATTTGTCTTCTCTAACCATCTTATTTGTCTGTCTGTGGAATTTAGGATGCATCTTGTCAGAGTATGGGATTTCTGCTCAGTAGCCAGGATGCTCGGATCGTACTGGCTAGTGAACAGTGCTACAAGGCATTGCAACGTGGTCCGAACGGTGATATTGCTGCCTATCCGGGATGGCCCCGAGTGACGTGGATCAATACAGATCATCATGGAGCTGGTACTAAACCCCCAAAAGATTGGGTACCGCCAGATCGACTACCGAATGAGGAAACCATGTATATGGAGGTTAGTATCATGGATTATGTTTTTTTGCTCTGGTTTGCTCTGTTTGGCCAAACTGAGATGCCCTTTTGCCCTGTCCAGTGACAAATCAACCGAATCGAAATAATCTGCTAGTTGCGCATCTATATTCATCCGGAAATCGAAACGCAAAAAAATATGAACCATTGTTCGACTATGCACACTCATAGTTAGTTATTTTGAGAACAATTCTCGGGTGGTGATCGAATAAAGATACCCAACGGGGAGGGGTTTGAACCTCGAACCTCAAGGTCCAAAGCACGCCGGTGATAGCGACTAAACCACTACGCCACCACCACCTTTGATACTTATTGATCCTGTCAAGTGTATATTGTAATACGAAACGGATCACGAAACACACCGTATGAAATCTTCGGCGTGTACGAAATTAGTTTATCTAAGATCCGTTTGTCGTTCATTTAGTGAAAATGAGGAGAGAATTTTATCATAGTTGCCAGAATCGGACCCGACAAAACAAAACCCGTTGGCCACTGCCGTTCGCTCATCGAACGGGGGATCTGTTTGAATCATTCAAATGAGTTCTGACACACCAAATTTCCTAATCTATGATCAACTGATTTATGCACAAACTATTGTCACTTCACCTTGGGCAAGTGATATTCTCTTGCGTACGTATTCCCGAAAACCCCGAATATCCATCCCCATATGGTTCATGCATTATTTTGTCTAGAACAATGCATTTTGTCGTGGAAATCCTCAGACAGTTTTAGCTCAACTTATTTTCCATAGTACGCGTTCCCTGATCATTGATTGATTTCTCTTCATGTTCATCTGTCATACAGTATACCTTCACCAAAGATGGTAGCGTTCACGGAGTGATGATCAGTCGGCGTGCTGCTCTAGCTCATTGTCGTGCACTGACCGCGGCATGTAGCTATTCCGAAGAGGATGTCGTTGTTTGTGTGGTCGATTGTCGTAGAGAGACCGGACTATGGCATGCAGTGTTGGCGGTGAGTTGTTTTTTTTTTTGCTCAAGAATATCAGATTAGTTGGGAAAAAGTTTTACCCGTAATTCCATCGGATCGGATTAGATCTAGC